TGAAAAACTCCAAGAAACCAGCTGCTTGACCCACTCCTGGTAAGTTGCATCCTGCTGGTAGCAGTCCTCCATGGAAACTAAGAAGAACTGTGGTGCAGGCGATTGGAGCACATGCTTCCCATTCATGTAGAGCTTCATCACAGGTGCCCCTCCAGGTGCTATGAACTTAGGAGGGCCTCCTGGGCAGAATGGGTGCAGAACAAACTGTGGGGTTGGCAGTCAACAGCTCATGCCCATTGACTTCAACAAGCACTCACTAAACGCCTGCAAACAAGAAGCCCTCCCTGAAGAAGAGCCGCAGATCCCCAGCTTTGCTTGATTCAACCCAATATGTGGGCCTGACATCCGCTGGAAACTGAGCTGGAGCTTGGGCCTCAACAGCAAGAAGGCTAGGGTCTTTGTTCAAGTGGCTTCTCATTCCACAATTGTCCTTTAAAATTCCAAGGCACATGTGCCATCCTGCCACTGACCACATCTTGCCACCCATATTTGTTGGCAACAGCCTCCTAGGGTGCACTGGAAACATAATGCACACACAAAATCATACAAAAACGGTGGTGCCCCCATGTAGTGTATGCTGCTTACATGCCTGCCAGTTCAAAGGTACACTGCAACTTAGGGTCAAGGTTGTTGAAGTCTGTCTCCACTTCATCAAGCCTGTAGCACCCCACCCTTGCCTTGAACTTGGCCATCTCCTCCTTGCACTTCAGCTTCCTTAAGGTGGATGCAGGATGATAGATGGTTTGTTTGGGTGCAGTGATGAATCATAAGTAATTCATGTCAGTGGTGTGAGCATTGATCCTTTCACCCCACCTCAAGCCAAATGAACCACACACATTCCAATAAAGAAAGCCAAGTGTCAATTCACCTCTGTTGCTGGCCCTAAATTCTCTAAGTCGCATGAAAGGTGGCACACCCAGCATGAGCCAAAAACATTGCCCCAGCTGGTCATCCTGCAGGTTGGATCTCAGGAGGAAATCGATCTGGGTCCAGGAAGGCCAAAAAGCGAAGTGCATCTCTCCTGCACAGGTATATACAAAATATACCCATTGGACAAGGTGCAAGTACCATGGACTCAGCACTCAACACAATTGTTCTTGTTCTTGCAAAGCACCAAAGTATGGTGTATTTGGATATGGTACTATCCAAGGATATGGCTGCTCACCCAAAACAATGACTGACATCCTTGGAAAGCAATTATTCTTGTTCTTCTTGCTCTTTGCAAGACATACATGTGGAACTGCTCTTGCATCCAGAACATCACCTTGGATGCAGGACAGAAACAGTTTCCCTTCCCTCCTGCTTTGTCATTTGCAAGGCTCATGAAACAGTGAAGCCTTATTGCTGCCCAGTGTGCTTTCAGCATCTGTAGATTCTTCAGGATCTGCACAGTGTTTTGTGCATGCTAGCAGCTCAAACCCACAAAACTAAGTCAAATTGAAGAGTGTATGATAGTGTATGCACAAGTGCTAAATGGTCCATGGGTGCCTTTTCTCTTTTTGCTTTTCTTTCCTCCCCTTTCCCTGGAGCTCTTTCTCTTCCTGTCCCTCCTCTTTCTCCTGCGCCTTCCAGACCTTGGTCTCAACACAAAGCCCCCACTGGCAACCCCCCAAGTCATTTGCAAGGCAGCAAATCCCATTCAACAGTAACAGTGGTAATGACCTTGGAGGCAAGGCACTGTGATGATCTGGAACCTGAGGTGCAAATGGTAGAGACCCCCCCCCCCCCACAAATGAAAACAAACCACACATACCACCACACACAATAAGTCTGAATACAAAGTACATCATTGGCTTTCCACAGGCCTAGTGGCTGCTCTCACTGGCATCATCATCATCATCATCATCATCATCATCATCATCAAGATCTTGCTGGGAGGGGAGGCGCCCAAACTCCAGCTGTTGCACACCAGCCCTGGGATGTCCAGCAGAGGTAGTGAGGAAGGTTGTATGTCCAATGAAATTCACACCTTCACACAGTGTGCAGGCTCTGGGGTTGAGACATTGGTTGGGACATACCACCCATGTGCCTCATGTGCCAAGTGGTGAGTGATGCCCACAAAGGTTTATAAGATTGTTACATGTTACTTTGCATTGCCATACCACCAAACTAGATGCTCAGGAAGGTACTGTACCCCAGGCTGCATCATTGCCATCCCTCCAACCTGCATACCCCCAGCAGGCTGTTGCATAGGCTGTTGCACAGGCTGTTGCATAGGCTGTTGCACATGCTGCTGCACAGGCTGTTGCATAGCCCCAGGCTGTTGCATACCAAAATTGAGTTGTGGCTGCCTGGGATGAGCTAGCTTAGAAAGCCCAGGCAACAAATTATTTGCTTTGCAAACATGTTGAAACAAAGACAGGCCAAGGTGCATCACATTTGATGGCTGGCTTTGCATGTTGGTCACTGGTACTCCAGGTGGAGGCCCAGAAGGCCTCACCAAGCCCAACCAATATGTATGGGACTGATTCCTACTATTTCACTGACCCTTTACCTACATGTCATGTTTGACACAATGAATTCTTCCTGCTTCACTACCTCTGTTGTGAACAATTCTGAAATTTCAGCCATGCCACATTCTGCCAGAGTTCTCTCTATCCAGTCGCCCTCTGTCCCTTCCACCACCCATGGCTGGAGTTCTGTTGCCCAAAACCCATTATTAGAGCCACAGTTGCTGCTGGGGCAAGGGCACAACAGTTGAGTTGCCCACCACTTTCCAATGGGCTAGAAGGTGTGGATCCCTGACTGCAACAGCAGTAGCAGGTGGACCAGTGTGAGCCATTGATTGTTTAAGAGGCACCTAGTTGAAAGAAGGAACCCCAAAAATAGAAAAACATTAGAAAAAAATGAATCTATGTTTTTCAATGTTCTTCAATGAAAATCAATGAGGGTTTTACCTCAAATGATAGCCTTCCTGATGGACGCCTCAGCCTCATGAAAGATGATTGGATATATTATTGACAATGTTCGGGTCATAGCCATCTAAAAGTTGGAACCCTGACTAGACGCAACACCCCTTTTTTTTCCTTTGATGCACAAAACATCACAAAACACTAAACACATTGCTATTCTCACTGAGCCCATATGGGTTCATTCACGCTCGTTCCCCAAAAAGGAGTCGTGACATCAAAAAAGCTGTCACACTAACTCAAGTTCGATCCACGTTCGCCCCTCAATAGCCCTTCCACATCGTGGGGTACTAGAGGGTTGCTGTCACACACCCCAAAACAGCTGGATTCTTTTTGACCTCGGCCAACCCATCGCCTCCTTCTCCCAGAATCGTGGGAACCCGACCGGTGCCAGGCTTTGGCAAAGCGCCAGTGAAGGGGCGTGGGAATTTCACAGCCCTCGTGCTCTCCGGCGGAGGCGCCAAGGCCAGGGTCAAAGGGGAAGGTGTTTTCTTTTGTGAGGCGGACGTGTGAACAATAGTGTGTTCTTGGATGTTTTTGTTCTTGTTGTGTGTTCTGCTTGTTCTCGTTCTCGTCCTCGTCCTCGTCCTCCTCGTCGTCCTCCTCGTCGAAAACATTTCTGGGAACCATGTTGATGTGCTTGCAATATGATGTCTTATAAGTATCCATGATTGATCGTTTTGTTATATGTGTTTTTTCATTTGCCGGTGATCCTGGATGACCGCCGGAGCCGGAGCCGCCACAGGGAGCCTTCGAGCTGGGAGTCTTGGAGGGAATTTGCCGAAACAACTCCTTGGCACATTTGAGGCGGGGCCTAAAAGCGAAGCATTTCGCGCGGGGCAGGGACTCCCGAGCGAAGCATCTATATTATAGCCTTGGCATGCGTGTGTGTTTTTATTGATATAAAATGATTATATTTAGCAAACTATTTAGCAATACAGGTAATGGGCCGGTGTTTTCTTTGGAATGGACCATATATAGCCACGTTGGTTACTTGAAGTTATTCTTCTTTAATTGGCCGATCTTTTTTTCTCTGGTGGGATCCGATGCCGGTGGTCGTATGAGGCAATTGTTTTTCGATTCGGATGTTCTTTGGGCAGGGAGGTGTTGAGATCTCTTCAACTACATGGAAGGCTGCAGGAAACAGCTCTCTGAGCGAACAGTCGCTGCTTGATATATATATATATAGCTTGAAGACTGTAATGCTGACGTAACAACAACAGCGCTCTAGTGGTGGCCTGCCATTCACTTATGACCGGTGTTTTCCTGTTCTCTCCACATTTGGACCGGAGACCTACTTCTTCACCTCAGCACAAAGAGACCTCACCGATCGTGTGGAGGAACTGGTCTATGATCGTGGGCACCAGTATTGGTGCGCTGAACGCCGGCGCACTGGCGCAATTCTCCCCGGAGGCACAGTGCGACCAGGCGAGGTGGGTGTCGTGGGTTTCTTCGGATCAACGAAGATCGGGGAGACAACGAAGGTAGGTCAGTGAGGGTATTTTCAATGTGTGAACACCTTCTTGATGGGAAGAATGGAGTGTCCATACTTCACTTGGTATTTCTGTCCATGAATGAAGTATACCGGACCTGAGGTGTTCCTGACGCCGGTCGTGCGACGATCAGAGAGGTCGCTGCTTGTGACTTGTTGTGTCGTTTGGGCTCGAGCTGCGATCCTTTCAGCGCCAATTCAGACTTGTCAGAAGGCAGTATGTATACTGCCCACATCTATCCACAAACGCATTCAGCTAATGAATGGCCAAGGACCACAGGATCGGTTGAAGACTATCCAAGACTGCTAGGTCCGATGAACACCCGCTCTATGGACAGGGGTAAACAGCTGGTGATTGACACCGTGCGCCGCATCAATGTCAGGAATTTGGGAGTTCAACCAGTTCAACCCAATATTCATCAACCCATGAACACTTGCAAACCATCAAGAATCAGTTACTTGACTTATAGCTTACACATGAATGACATGAACTCCATTTACCAGCTTGGAAGCCCACCATTCCTGGGGGCCAAAAGACCTCTTTACAACAGGCTTGACGAGACACCCCACGCGTTCGTGGGCGCCGAGCGAACCCGCCGATGACGACGAAGACGGGCTCTACAGAGCTTCGAGACCTGCCAGATGGCCCAGCACTGCCGTTGGCCTTAGCAGGTGCCCGGGCACGCCGGGGATGGGGAGGATGGGGAGGAGGGTGCTGTTCTCAGGGGCCTCCAACCGGGGGTTGGGCATGGCGGACATAGCCTGACTTGGCGGAGTGTTGCAACTTGGGATATGGGCCATTGGATGGGGTGTTCAATGGAGATCCATATGTTGTGTAGAGTAGTCCAGTATTTAATTAGTCCATACAGTTGGACGACTGTTTGTTCTTGGTCTTGGGAGGCTTAAATCGATTTGGACACCTGTTGGTGTCTCACATCATCCTTTGCATGAGAGGAAGAACGGACGGAAGCGGGATTCCACTTTCGGATCTTGGGCTCTACCAGGACACCAAGATCCGAAGGCTTTGGAAGGGGGTGCTTTACTCTTGTGAGGCTCTTGCCATCTTCATCTTCAGTTTGGGGCCCGGCATAGAGAAGATGAAACAAGTTATGAATTTGAGGCCGGATTCATTTTTTTATGAACTGAATGCATGAGGTTTGTGACCTGCTCATGCTGCTGCCACCCGTATGACTTAGGGTATATATGTTTCATATACCCCAGAGGTCCCAACCGAAAACCTGTCTGTTCTTCTTTTGGGTCACAGCTTAGATGGCATGATGAGGTGGACAGTGGGTACATCATGTATCATGATGTATCCCAGAAGTACCGACTCGTCCCACACATGGTGACCGGATCAGGTGCTGTGATCCAGTTGTCCACCTTGCACTACGTTTGGTCCTTCACCAGTGCAAATCCGTGTCTTCGGCACCCGCGCCGTGTCTGAAAACTCCACACCGAAAGGGTCGGGAGGCCGATCCACCGAAATAGCCGCGGGACTCAGGTTCTGTTGGTTCTCTTTTCGTGACCACCACCACCTTGGGACGCATCACCAGGTTCTCAGATTTGATGTTTTTCTTTTTTTTGTGTGCCGTTGAGTGACCTACGAAGAAGGACCGGACCGATGACCTCTCCAAAGAAGTATGCAATCGAAGTGACATAGACACAGTACCTGAACTGCAAAGTAAGCTTGTGAGGTGTACACATTATGAACTACTGGTTGACTGGTCGCCACTATTCAGTATCGCAAAGGCAAGCGTCAAGACCAGCACCTCCTTACCCGTGAGGGTTCTGTCATTAACAGACATATGGCACTGAAGGTCATACTATGTCATACTCATAAATGTTCAATCAAACTATATCAAACTAAGGATTGGGCAGTTTGATGTGTTTGAGACATATGGGACCAAAGCTCACACTCATCAATCTTCAATCCAGAACTCCAGACCAAGGATTTTGGCAGTTTGATGTGTTTGAGAATTTTATTGGATTAAATTGATTGAGTTCATTGGTCCCCCAGGCGGGTTTGCCACCCAATGCCACCCATAGCACCTACCTGTCCCTCCTGCCGTTTCGAACGCCGCTCACGCGGGAAGAAGCAGTCTTGGCTATTCCGTGGCATTGCTAGCATCGGCTTCAACACATTGAACCGGGAGAGCGGTGTTGAAATCATCCAAAACTCGCTTTAATCAGTTTTGATTTTTGGATAAAATGCCTTGATCTATCGAAATCCCTCTTCGATTGGGAGGCTTCACACACACACACACCTACATTGGTGTGATTTGGTATGTGTTGCTTTAAGTATAAAGTTATGTGCTTATCTTTCGCTTATCTTTCTGCGCACAACGAATCCGAACCTATCAGGATGAATTGTTTGGCACGACCCTGGGACTTCGATGCCTTTGGCCGCACGGTGATCTATGTGGATGTGCTGGCCTTGCTCACGTGGCTGTGCCTGGGCCACCGATCTCACCCATTGATAGGGCCAGGAGGAGGTCAGCGGTTTTCCCTATCCCAGACACTCCATGTATGCCATGTATTCCTACATTGACCACAAAACCACCCCAATGTAGGCATATATGGCATACATGGAGTGTTTGGGTATATTTAATGTATAGAATGCAGTGCAGGACTGGAGTCATCTTCAGTCCATCCAGCCTCTGAGCTGGGTCAACAGAGTGAGTTTCCGAGTGCTTTTGGGTCATTTTCATGTGCTCTTCGGCAAAGGAAAATGGCCGTCATGGCCGCCTGAAAATTGCCACCCAAAGCAAACCAGTTTGAATGAATCGGTGAAGATGGGAACGCCCGGTCCCAGACAGAATCCCCTGAATGCGGAGCTGGGCACCTGGATTGATAATGGTATCTTCCAAATCTTCAGAGTGGCAGCTCACAGCTGCAGAGCGACTCTGATGCCCTACATGGCTGCTCCCCAAGTAGATCCAAACGGATCCAAACCTCTCATTTCGATGCCACCAGATTGAACCATCATATGCTTTATCCTTTCGGCAACGCCCCAGTCCCTCGTCCTGAGACCCCAGTCCGTCCCTGGAATCATCATGGTTACCTGGAACATGGCCCCTTGGACGAGCATGTTCCTTTACAAATAGGTGGTCTTCCACTTCGGACAAAGAAACATCGCCAGTGGCGTTCCCTGACTCAACAAGCTCTTCGGTCCGTGCCAGCTTGTCCCCACTCCTTCCAGGTATTCTTTGCGGCGCATCCCCAGCACTGGCACTTCTGATCCTTCCATCGTGGATCGCTTGTGGTCCATCATGCCATGGGCACCTGGGACTCCCTGGGACGGTGTAAGAAACGGGATGTGCCGCTGTGAGAATTCCATGCAGCTTTGTGTGGGGATTGGCACGTAACCCCTTTGGCCGACCTCCACTGGTTGGTGATTTCATGTCTTTTTTACTGTTCAACCCTATTTTGGAATGGCTACCTCAGTTGACTCATACTTTTGGGAAGGGTTTCAACCACCATCCAGAACACATGACCTTCGTCACACACATGACCACATGACCTTCGTCACTCTGTGGGTCTGGTGGCTCGCCACGTACTCCATGGCAGCATCCTTTCCTGACTGAATCGTATCAAGCCACGCGAGCTGGGTGGCCGGCATTTCCTATAGCGAGCTGCTCCTCCATGGACCACTGAACCTGAGAACCCACTGAACCTGCGAAAGGTGTTTGGACCGGACCAAGTGACTCGACGATGTAGACAGAGCCAGGCAAGCACCGCGTGAGATCATAAATTGCAGGTCCTCTCCCTTCAGCCTGCACATTACTCCCATCAAGGAATAGTACAGCTCATAACGGCCATGATGGGCCAACTGGTGTGTCCGAAGTTTGGGATGCGGTCGATGGGTCTTCGCGAAGAAGGCAGTCCTCGGAGTTGGGAAGAACGATTCTGACTCGGACTCGGTGAGAAGGAACTTGTTGGTCTTACGGTTGGGAGGTCATCCAGAGACACCGAGGCCTCCAGCCTTTAGCGTTTCTAATTTGACTTTTTTTTCTTCTCAAATGGCCTCCCAAACGAGGCCGCCCAGGCCCCACCACTCCAAACTGGGCCCCACCACTCCATAGGGTTGTTTAACTTGTTCGGACCCCCACCTACATGCCGGCATGCCGCAGAGCTTGCTTTTTGGTTTTCCAAGAGACCCTGCAGTGAAAAGGTCTATACTTGGCACTACTTCTTTGCCTCCTATTTCACAGATGGCCTTAATCCAAGGCGCTTTCTGTGAGCGGTTGGCTGGGTTCGGTGATAGTCTTGATGTCATCCTGCACTCCCTGACCTGCAAAAGAAGTCAAGTCTTTTGCACTTGCCCGCCAATATCCCAGAAGTGCATGTTTTTGTTTGTGTGTGTTGTTCTTTTGAATTTGCTCTCCAGTCCACATCCATTTCAACAACTCTTGTTGGGTCATGATATCCCACATATTTGGACACATTGACACTGATATTGCTTCAACTTAAGCATATGAACTGTGAACCTGAATCCGTCTATGCTGGAACTGATCCTCCATTTCTGCAGCTTGGCATGTACATGATGATAGTACTGTACTCCTTTATACTCCTATATTATATGTTCCTGCCAGCCACTTGTTAACTTGGTTTGCGTGTCCAACACTAAAGGGACGACTGGAATTGGAGATCATCATCGTCCATGAACAGCGGATGCGCTGTGATCATGCCAGGCTGCTGATCATGACGCTTCTGGCCACGCTGTGGGGTGTGAGGCCGTGTGGATGACGAACAAAGGCAAAAACACCTCCACAAGTAATTACAGCATACGGAACTTAAGGCCGCTCAAGTGTTGATTGCTTCTTGTATGAAAAGAAATAATAGAACAAGAGGTGCCATCAGAATCGTGGATCCACAGCCGCTTGGTGCAGTTGTTCAGAGCCTGTGTTGTTGCTTTCCTCTATCAAAGGTTAATGACCAAGGAGCCCGAGCCCCCACCTGCCCACAGGTGATGAAGGCAAACTCCCAGGAAGATGCAAAACATACCTTCGATATCCTTCCTTCAGCAAAGTCATGATCATGATACACGAAAAGCCTATGTAGATTACCCTAGGTCAATCTAAGTCATATTTCCCTGATGTCTTCACTGTCTTCACATGCTTTTTCCTTTGCAGGTTGACCTACAACTTCTACATCAAGGGTGGCTTCACTGGGGGGGAGGACTATCGCTGGGCCGTGATCCGGAAGTGGTATCCGGGCTGGAGATGGGAAGTCTTCAACCTCATTTTTATTTGCCACTTGGTCAGGAGGAGCTTGTGGGCCATCTTGGGGTGTTTGATGGTGTTTGGTTGGAGGCACTTGGACGGAACTGCAGCTTGTGACATTGGCAGAGCTGGGTCAACTGTGCGGGGCTGCTCAGGCTTTTGTTTGTTAGAATGTTTCAAGTTGTTCCATTGCGGCCCTGAATGGACATTTGAGATTTGAGATTAAGCACGTTTGGCTTTGGAAACATGTCGATATCACTGATTGGCTCTTCTTTCCGTTGAAGCTTTGCAATCAGCTGTCCCAGTCCCAGTAGAAGAGTTGTCTTGGCTTGTGAAAGTGCAAGAGTTCCCATCTCAACTTCCACCCCGTCTCCCAAGCCCAACGCACCATGCACAGAGCTTCTAACCTCATTTCCACCTGGGTGGCTGAGCCACCCAGCTCCACCTAGCTCACCTGCTCACTTGGACTGTCCACTTGCTCACCATCCTCAACTCAGGCGCCCCACCGAGGCTTCTTCCAGTCTACCCCGCCCCCCCGAGGCTTCTTTCAGCAGGTGGCCGTGATGGCTTTCACCACCCCCGCGGCAGCCGCGTTCTCCAGCTCTACGCCTTTGACAGCCATGGATCTGGCGGCTGCACTGTTTTACCTGTGGCTCAGTTGAAAAGGAGGTTTCTGACTGTTTTGGCCTTAAGAGTGGACTGTATAAGATATACATATTTGGATTAATGTGGTTGTAATATATCTGTGTTATTTTTGGAACTGTATATGCATTACTACAATTATGATCAGTTACTGGTAGTGTATCGTTGGCCCTTTGTAGTGTGATCCAATAGAGATTTGTTTGGCCTCGGGTTGTAGGGGGTATTTCGGAAATCTACAAAACGGATCAAAGTATACAATTACTGTAACATCAAATTAACCATTTAGAGTTTCGTCATGGCAGGTGTTTGACGGGTTCTTGTGATGACTCGCACAGTTGTACCCTCGGACTCGAGGCTGTTGGTGCTGGGTGAGGCTGTGGCAGACGCCCAGATGTTCGCTTTCCAGACCGAGAAGTACCGCCGGAGAGCGGCTAAGGAGCGTTGCTTCTGATGACAGGGCCGGAAAATCAAGAAGATCATGAGTCATGAGGTTGATTTAGTTTTGGTGCAAGTCTAAAGTTGTTTCTAGTCCATGCTGTTCTCACTTCAAGTGGTGATTGCACAGATCTTAAACCCTTTCAGCCACTGTTTGCTGCTTTGGCACTTGCCTTTGTGGAAGAGCATGTCGGAAGAGTCATTTGCTAGCTGTCCCAAAGGGTTGACACAGCTTAAGGCACCACAGGAACGTTTCGAAAACAACACCTGTTGTTACTTTTGGGAGGAGGAGATGGGCGAGTATGGTGCTGGCTTCATCCAAAGTGGCCTTTGGGCCTGGTCACGTCATCCCAATTATTTCTGTGAGGTCACCATGTGGTGGGCTGCTTGGAACCGAGAGCACTTTCTATTTGTTGGTGTTGGGTGTTTGAGGAGTATTGGTCCGGTATGGTAATGGATTTGCCTCCTGATTTTTGGAGATCGAATCTTCAAAGCAGCTACCCTCCTTTCTGTATGTTTTCGGAGAGAGAGAGAGAGAGAGAGCCGCCTTGCCAACAATCGTGCTGAAGTCTTGAAATATTCATTTCGACCGATCGTGATTTCGACCGTGCGTAGGGGGACGTCCGTATACCTCAACCCATCGGCCATTGGTCATGTTGACCAAAGATCAGCAGGTGCGACACCTGTCAGGGGTCCAGCACTGGTCGACGGTGCAAGTGATGTCAACTGATTGTTCATCGTCCTTTTGCGAGTTGCTTTAGCAACTAGTTGTTTTACTTGTGGGCGAACTCCCATCCCTATTTATTCCCAAAGGGCTGGATGAACTGCCCATCACCATCATGAATCCCATTTGACTGAAGGAAGATGGACGTTCCACTGTTCGTGAGCTCAGAGGACCTTCCAAATCAGACTGACTAACCAGAACTGCTGACCAGTTGGTCATGCAGCTGGTTGGCAACTCTGAACATCTGAGGCTTTCTATCTCTTCAGTATCCCAGCCACAGGAGAAATGCTGAACTGGACCATTTGGGGTGCAGTTTTTCTCACGGGTCTCTTTCTTCTGCCTGGAGCATCCTTGGACATCACAGAGGCTTTGTCATCCAGCAAGTATCCGGAGTACAGAAACTACCAGATGCTTGCTTGCTGGTGTTGGATGTGGTTGTATTGTCATGTTGCTCAATGTGTAGGTTTTCCGCTTTGGGCTGTAATGATTCCCATGCAATTGCGCCTGCCCGGAGAATAATGCAATCCAAATCTTACGAACAAATGCTGGATTTTACCAGGACGTCATGCAGCGGGTGCTAAAAATGAACTGTGTGATATGACTAGGCACCCCATACTGAAGGATTGCTTCTCAGACATTCCATGGTTGGCCCCCGGATATTTCAAACCATTTGACTTGACCTCCTGGAGCCTTATGTGTGTTTTCTTGTTTTGAAGACATGTGGAACCAGCTGCCCTGAAGCTGATCCTGGTTCCATTGTATTTGTTGGATGAAGAACGGGCCATGCTAGGAAACGTGTCAGCAAGTACTTTCCGCTGCCGCCACGGAGCACTCCGACGCTGTCAAAGCCCTTGCGCTCAGATCCACGGTGACACCGGCCCGGTCGGAGTCGATCGATTGGATCCATCGAGGCAACGACTGCAGAGCGCAAGCGAACGACACGATATTGACATGTGGGGACCATTTTCGTGCAGCCTGCCATTCCGAGCTTTTCAGGGTTTGCACCTCCCGAGATCTCGCGAAGCATTGTGAAAAAACTGGTGCGACGGCATGTGTGATGTATGGAGCTTGCAGCCTGACTCAGAAGTGTATATATATAATGCCCTGGTTCGAAAATGTTTATCGACTGCCGGCCAGATCTGATTTTGCCGATGTAAACTTCCTCTATTGAGGGTGATCTGTCGTGTTCTCCATGTGTTTTGGGATGGTTATTGAACCAGTATTTTTTTTGCATGCCCTTAGTACCCAACAGTTTTGTCTTGCATCTGTCGAAACCACTTTTCTTCTAAGTGTTTCGTTGTGTGAACCTTCCACACCTCAAAAGAAAATGCTCCGTCCAATGGCCATTATTCAGGCCACCCATAATCATGTTAGGGGCTGAGGCTGGTGTCCCTGACCAGACGGAAGGCCATTCGAAGTCACTGGTGTGTAAATAGAAACTGAACCGTGTTGGAGGCTTACGTCTTCTGGGCTCAGAGCAACGTTTTTCAGACTCAGCAGCGATATTCCATGGACAGCTCGATGTTCAATGCAACTACAAGGTCAATACTTGGCAGTGCCAGCATGTGCTGATGAGTTGGAGGTTGACTATGTAGTAAGTATTAGTAAGTGGTAGTCCTTGGGGAAAGACATAGAAGCAGCTTGGCTGCCTGACTCCGAATCTTTTCAGATGGCAAACCGGGCTGGGGTCATAAACTAAGCGTACAAATAAAGGGTTTGAACACTTGTGCGGCTGTGGAGTGAGTTCCCACCAGCCCGTTGCATGAGATGACATCGATATGTTCGCACATCAGCTGACAAACGTTCATGGGTTCACCATCCTATCATCCATCGATCAATCCAAAACACACAATGAACAACCGTGAAGAAGGAGAAGATGAGCAATAACAATAAATGACAACCGACAACATCTTAAGAATATTATCTCCCTGTGCATTACCTCTATGAATTGAGGAGGGTCAGCCCCATATAAAACATTTTAAGACCGGTACCCCCTAGGGGATCAGAACTTCATTTTATAGAGAATTGCGTGTGCATGCGCGTGCGTGAGCTTGATGTCAACCAACCACGCATATACGAGCGCCCCGAAGAAAACACACTATACACATCGAGTACAATAAGAAAATAGCAAGATGAAAAATGTTTAAAAGTGTTCTGATATTTTTTTGGGATTTGACTGAACCACCAGTAAGCAGTTCCTGGAAGACAGTAAAACTGTCTTCCAGTACCCCAGACCGGTGGTGGGTAGGGGAGCAAGCGACTCGCACAAGCATACCCGAGCCCACCACGAAAACAGAATGGGGCAGGTGGTTACAGTCAAATCCCTTTTTGTGTAGGTTTTAGCCACAGGTGTGGCAAGGGGTAGGGACCTTCACCCCAAGAGCAAACTGCTTCATCAATGAATTTTTGTCGGCGTTGACATCGCTGTTTGTTCGGCCACACTCCTCTCCAGTAAGCCGGGACACAGGGCCCAG